CGCATGAATATATGGGATATAAAAGTGATGTTATATTTATAGCGTGTTATTGTGTGTCCGATATATAGCGCTGCGAAACACACGCAACGCATAGGTATTACTGTTACACTGTTTTGGGTGAAAAAAAAAACTTTAGCACATAATCAACGGTACACTTGTGTTGCCACTACCGTATGTTGTTTGCATGCCTGCGCCCAATGCTATGCCAATGGGATTGTGTGTGTTTTGGCTGTGTTTTGGGGGTCGACACATGTGTGTGAGAGTGGTGGGGCTGCGCGTGCTTTTAGCTCACCCTTTGCATGTAGAGTGGCCAGGTGGGTTGGGAGTGCGCGTACTTTAATATACTTACTATTATTTGTATATTATAAATTTATAATAATTACTTTGGAACTTATTCTAAGTTTTATTTGATATAGCAGATTTAGTATATTTTTAAAATTTGCACGATTGTAAGTTATATCATGTTTTTTGTAATTATTCTCTATATTTTGTAATTAGATTTTACACTGAATGTATTTTTCAATAAGTGTATTAGTTTAATTATAATAATACTATTATCTTGAATTAAAAATATATTTTTCATTAAAAAATAAATTACATTAATTTATTAAAATTTTATTTATAAAATATATTCATTCAAAATTTGAACCCCTTGGTCACACTACACATACACTATAATATCAGTAAGTCACAGTAAATTGCGAAACGTTATTTCCATACACGAGTTGATCACCGCTATTTATAACACTCAACTATGGCATTAAAAACCAGTCAATGTAACAGGGAGGTTTATTCCCTGCAAATATGATAGCACTCACTAGTTCACCCTACTGGTGTAAAGTTTACTATGAATTAATTACAATCAATTTAATAATAAAAACTAACTGTACAAAGGTAGTTTTGGAAAAATTCCCAAACTTTGCGTTCATATATTACGTGCCAATATTGGGTGACTCGAAGCACGTGACTACAAGGCCTGGCGTATAGTGTACTTCAAAACAGATTAGATTAAAACGAAACTTAATTTATTTTATAACTAGTATTGAGAGGCTCTCTCTCATACTCTCTCGCTGTCTCTCTCAGTGCCATACAAAAGGTCTCATTCACTGCCAATACATATCATTCGCATTATAACTGCAGTTATAAACTGTAAGTATATTGCAGTGTAATAGCCATGACTTCCCGAATGGGCCGACGTTTTTACCGGTTGGACACTATGCCGGCCACCGGCGGCCAGGGATACCTCGATCACGGTATGAGCGCCCAGATCGAGAACAAGTGGGTGTTCGAAGTGGCCTGGGAGGTCGTCAATAAAGGTATGGCATACCCTTGCCGTATGATTTTTGCGTATTTATGTGCCTAGCTCGCTTAGTATTATAATAAATCTGGTAGCTAGTGTGCTAATGTGCGTGTGTACACCGTATAATTATGTGGTAATAATAATGAGCTACTTATGCAATATAATTATGTAGGCTTTCCCTGCCCTACCCTCTCATTTAGTTATTGAAAAGGTCTGTCCCCATACATATGAATACGTGTTGCGCAATGCCTGTGCCCTTGTCACACTAAAATCGCATGTTTTAATAACTTTTTATAAGTTATTTATTAAAAAAAATAAAAATTTTAAATTAGCTTACCACAATAAATTGACAATTTTTTATGCTGTCAGGTGTTTAGGGTTATGGCAATGACTTTATGCTAAAAATATAACAATATATTGACTAAAAGTATATTAATGATTACTTTTTTGCTATTTTTACGGTACAGTGGGCGGCATATATACCGTGATTCGGACCAAAGCCCAGGTGACCAGCGAGGAGTTGGGCGATCAGTACGTACTCGTGGGTCCCTATAATGAACAACACGCCCGCACGGAAGTGGAGATCGAGGAGCCCACGGATTACGCCTTTAAGGGGGCTATCGATGTGCTCAAGAGTTTTGGCATTAGGGTAGGTGTTATGGGGTATTCCCCCGGTTTTTAAGGACAGGGAGTGTGGGTTAGGTGGGGTGTTGGAGGGTAGATAAGATGTAAAGTTTTTTTTATAAGTATTTTATTAAGTTTTTATAACTTTTGGAAACTATTTTTCAGGTTATTTACGGGCATTGGCTGATAGAGGGCTACCCGACTGTCCTATTGTTTGACATCGGGTCCGCCTCCTGGAAATTGGATGAATGGAAGCACGACTTCTGGAACGTTACGAATATCGGTAAACTGCTATCCGACCTACCGGTGCTCTTAACTAAACTAATTCCTACATAAATATAATATTATGATTGAATGAGAAAATTTTTTTTTATTTTAAGTTTAATTGTAATTTATTAGACCTTAACCTTAGATCTTAAACTAGTGTTTGTTGTTTGACTACCATTCCCTACCTATTCCCTGCAACTCGTATACTAGTAGGCGCTCCAGTAGTTTATATTACAGTATTTAGTATAGTATTTAGTTTATTTTCAATTAAATTTAAAAATAATTAATTTAACTCTTATTCAAATACTTGATGTTCTCTGCCATTCCCTACCTTTCCCTACAAATCGCATTCTAATAGATAAACCAGTGGTTTATACAACAGTTTGTAATTCCCATTAGATTTGTGTTAATTGCGATAAAAGTTGTTTATATGTTTAAATTAATTTATTAGATCTTAATATCGTATATACCCGTATCTACTCCCCCCATTCCCTACCATTTCCCACAACTCGTACACTAATAGACACTCCAATGGTTTATATTACAGTTTTGACATCAATTAATTGACTACAGTATTAGTGAAACTATAGCTAACTTTGTGTATTAAACTTGAATCATAACTGTTATTTTTGTCGGTAGGTATACCCCATTTGGACCGGGAGTGCAACGACACCCTCATATTCGGCTACGTTTTCACGTGGTTTTTGGAGGAGTTCTACCGGCGGGTGGAGGAGGAAAGGGGTCGACCCCTCATCGTCGCCCAGTTTCACGAGTGGTTGTCCGGCGTGGGACTCATACTGTGCCGCACCCGGCACCTGGACGTCGCCACTGTGTTCACAACGCACGCCACACTACTGGGCCGGCATTTATGTGCCGGTGCCGTAGATTTCTATAATAATTTAGATAAGGTACGGGACTGGTAGCTAAAAAAAGTGTTGTATACCCTACTAATGATATATCACCTGAAATGGACTACAGTTTCAATTGGATCGGGAGGCCGGGGATCGCCAGATATACCATAGATATTGTATGGAGAGGGCGGCGGCTAACGCGGCCCACGTATTCACTACCGTGTCGGACATTACGGGCC